TTCCTGATTCATTAGCCTGCAGTTTTTTTTATTTGTGCCATAGAAGAACTTAAAACTGTCAGAAGAGATTTTTCCAAACCATGTAAGATTTCTTTTTCTATTAAAGATGCAGATGCAGTAATAATAGTAGTTGTATTCTTATTTGTTAAAATTAGATGTATCTAAGCATACCCTTAACCCTGATATAAATAGAATAACTTTAAAGACAGTTTAATTTTTGTTCCTTTTTAGTTATGTAATGTCTTTCATTAGTAGGAATACAAGAAAAGGGGAAAACAAAATCTTCAAGCCCCCCTCCTTATTGAAAATAAATTAATCTTAACTTGAGAAGAGGAAAAGAATTTATTAGAAAACAAAGTAATCAAAAAATATGGTTGAAATTGGTCCATGCATTAGCCTACTCAATATTTCTGAAAGCTGATTAAACCATTAGGTATCCTACGTGAAAAGTGAACAAGAAGTGACCCACAGTTCTGGGCAGGCACAAGAGCCATAGCTAGACTGGGATGGGTGATCGCTGAGCTGTCAGCTTGCTGCTTATGAGGCTCCCTGCCACAAAACCAGCAATGCTGAATGGGACAGGCAAAAATTTTGTCTTCTCAGGACAAGTATTAAAACCTACATTACTCTACAGACACAATAGAAGAGCATCTATTTCTAATAGCTCAATGCCTTCATAAATATTCTGGATTTGTTCCAAGAAATTTTATTTTTAAAAATGTTTGGAAAAAAAAACTTGCATTAAGACAAGGTTATTGTAGACAGGGTTTTGATGAAGGGGAAAAATGCAAGTTATTACAGACTGACTTGATTCTTTTACCTTTCACATCAGCCATGGCTAACACACCGAATCTACAGTCAAAACTGCGCTGTCTTACCCTCATGTCAGTTAATCTAAGGGGACATTCTTCAGTTTTGGTAGCTAACAGTTGATTGGTAGGTTCACAGCATTTATGGAACACAAAAAGGTGATAACAGGCCTGTGCTGGCTGAAGACTAGATGGTGAACTTCTACATTAAGTCCTGATCTTTATATTTGAGAACACTTAGTACCATTTTCACTTGGTCAATATGTTTATGTTTTTAAAAATTTTATTTTCTTATCCTCGAAAAAGAGCTTAAAAGGCCTTTAAAATGTTAGCTTGGAACCTTAATGTGTTTTAAGAATACAATTATGTTTAATTTGCAGTTAGTTGCAGCATGTTACATTTCTAAAACTAGGTAAGTGGCAAGTAATTTGAGAAGTTTATAAGCACCCTGCAAATAATTGCTTAATCTTATATTTGCTCAAACCTATATCCTTCTGTAGTGCATCTAGAATATCTGCTGCTTATAGTATAAGCATACATGATGTCCTTCTGTCTAACAAGTATACTTTATAAGCATAAACATTTAAAACACAGAGTAAGAAGTAACAAGGTATTCAGGTGGAATACAATCCTTTCTGATTATTATATATCTATTCTCAGTCCCAACATAATTATACTTTTATGTCAAAAGCTTTACAGCTTTACCACCTCAAGCAATATTTTACAGCTGTCAAGACTGATTTATGCAATAATGACTTAAACTGCAAAATGGAGTCCTCAAAGGAAGAGCTGTCAAACATTTTCACTACAAATAACTTTATTAAAATAAGAATTGATATTCTGTATAAACAACATCCTACCTTTAACTATAATACAGATCATATAGCTATATAACTTGTGGAAATTAAGTTGTGAGATAGTGAAGAACATTCTATACAGTTACTTTGATATCAGAATATAATTTTTGGATTAAGCAGATGTAATGCCTTATAGGTAAGATTTAAAAAAAATGTTTCAAAAGAATATTTCTTGTTATTTATCTGCATTTAATTGCATGGTTTTTATTTTTATTTATTTATTTTTAATTAAAGGACTATTTACATTAAAAAAAAAGAAAGAATTATTTGAGTCCTTAGTCCCATAAGTAGTTCCAGTGAAGGCTTCTTTTGTGATGAAAAACTATTAATTTGGACCGTTAGTTCTGGCATCCATCTATTCTTATTAACTGTTTTTGTCAGTAGTTGTTAATTCTTTTAATAGCTATGTAATTGTTTACTGTGGCTTTACTCTAACAGGGCAGAGGATCAGAATAATCTGAATAGTCTAGATTGTGCAAATAACCTTCTAAAAAGAAAAATGAGTGAGAAGAAATTCAAACCAAATGTAGGCTATCAATCTCATTCTGACAGAAATACAGTAGTAAGGCTGTTAGCTGCAAATGTTAAAAACTTCCGTAAGTATGGGAAATCAGTGTGGTTGGGACAGGGCCTGCTGGTTCTGTAAGTAATGCTGCCATTCCAACTTCATGCCACTGAAACAATTATACGAAGCTCTCACAAATATTCTCCCTGTTATTTGCATTTTACTGGGCATATATTGAGGACTCCGTAATATGGTCTTCAGAAATGCCTGTCGGCAGAACCTTAAGCCATTGACAACTTTGTGAGCTGCCATTCTCCACTATATGCTTAAATATTATGTAAAGCACACTACACAATGGGTGGCTATGAAATATATATGTATATAATGTTCAAAGCAGTGGGCAGTTCATTAAAATAACTTGAGTTACTCACATAGAAAAAATTAAACTTGTGTGTGTTCGTCTTGTCTTGTTGTTGGTACTGAGCTCTTAAAGAATTCTCATATTCACTCACACTACACAATACAAAATAAACAACTAACCAGGCACTAAACTCTCAAATGTTTAGAAAATTCTTTAAATTTATTCTGCTTCAGAACCCAGAGAAAATCCTTATTAGCTGTCACTACTCTGTATATAGTTCTATATAAAACACATTTCCAAATTTCAGATGAAAAGCGAAGTGTATCTCTTTGGCAATTTAGAATAACTAGTAAATATGTTTACTGAAATTTATTATGTCAATCATACAGGTAATTTAAATTTTGTAATACCACACAAACTTCAGAACTTTTTCTCACATTTTTAAAAGAAATTTAACAGTATGTGGAATGAAACAAAAAAGTCTGCTCGAGTTGTCTGGGAGTTATAAACTTGAGCGTCAAACCTATCTTGCATTTTGTCAATACTTGCCTATAATCAGTGAGGCAAAAATTTAAATATTTAAATTTTTAAAAGTCACCTGTTTGTTTAAATTTTGCAGTGTATATAGTGCATATTAAGTCATTTTGAGCAGCATATTTTTCAGACATTCAACACACATTTGTCTAGAAATACTGTTCATAGTTTTTGAAATTTCTCACCTTTGAACATACAGTCATATATAGTTATCTTTTGATTTAAGGAAACTATTCACAGCAGGGAAGTTACTGAAAACCTTTTATGCATGAGAGTGTTTACACTGAATAATCCGTAACTGTCATTTATAGTGTACTTCAAAATTCAAAACTATTTACAAAGGATATAGCAATTTTTGTGGTCAGTCTGGCTTTGGCCTCAAATAGATTATGATGTGTTGCATGATGCCAGGATTAAGCATTTTAGAAAAATACTTATTTAGGGTAACTGATAGATAGCTATGCAGTAGTTAAGATAGTTAAAGTGCCTTTCCTACCTCCCATTATCGTGGGAGACTGAAGCACTTTTAAATAACCAGATCTCAAAACAGTGCTCCAGGCTTGTGGCTATGAAAGTTAGCAATGACATTCTCCTTTTGCAATATTATTTTTAACACACGCCAAGTTAACGCAAACACAGGCTAGATGCGTACAGACACACAGTGTCAGGACTCCTGATAAATCTGTGTTTAAGGCACAACTACAACAACCAGTCTTGAACAAAATCTACTCCAGACCACCAAACCAGATCTAAGAACAAAGGACTGTAATAGAATGTGCTAAGAAGAATATTAAATATTGGCAGTGTGGGTAGAATGGTTGGCCTGAGTCCTATCTGAATTATACCAGCCTAAGCTAAAAATAATATTAAGTTTCTCCAAGATAACAACAGAATTACTAAGAACAGGGTTTAACTCTGTGACTTTAAAACGACAGAGCATCCATTACATGTGATTCTAAAATTGATGCAAACAACACACTGGCACTTCTCCAGGACTAATTTAAGCTCAGCATTTGAATATGAATTTCCTTTTCCTTCTCAAAAGAGTATATACACAACAAGTGATGGAATAAGGTACATCACATATTCGTAATTTGGATTTGTTTGAAAAACAGGTGTTTCTGTAAATAACACTGGGTAATCAAAAAATAATAATAAAATCCAACATGTAACTATTAGGTATCATAATTAGATTTCAAGTATGTGCATTTTTTAATCTACAAATACAGTCACTTATTCACTTTATGCTCTCTTAGTATGAAAAAAAAGCACCAGAATTGCAGATTTAACCACTCTTTCTTGTATCAGCAATAGTGTTAAATGATTATACTGAATCTTCACTGTAAAACAGGGATACTCTTCATAGTTTAATCATCCCAAATTTGTTACTGTGACAACATAATTCTAGGACAACTTTTGTGATTCAAATGTAGATACTCCACAGTATCTCATCTTTGAGAAGGATTTGCCTCTTTCTTTATAAAGCAATATTGTCTTCATTATGGGCCAATGTTTGCTACTTTCAATCCCCTTGTGCTTTATCCGGTAAAATATTGCATTTAAATCAAACTATAGTTCCAGGCTGGCAGAATTAAGTTCTCTGAAAGGGATACATCATCCCTACTTTCTCTGAGATGAAACAGTTCCTACAATTGAGAGTCCTGCTCTGTGCTTGTGTTATCTTTGCATTGTTGTAGGACTGTTTACTGTAGGAGATTTACATCTGATTTAAAGCTCTTACAGTGAGCATACAGTGAAATACTCTATAGAGCCACTACTTCCAGGGCAAATTCCCTTACTGATACACGTAATTGTACATCACTGGACATCAAAGGAGATACACCCTACTCCGGTGAAGGGTCTGGCCAGCAGATCATACACACTTTTACCAGATAACCAAACACAGAAGTTTTGAATATAAAAATGGACTTTACCATCTTTGTGATAATAGGTGACTTCCACTTTCCTCTCCTCTGACCCCAGCAGTGCTTGAGCAATTTGAGCAATATGATGTCTTTTAGTCTCTGGTCCATGAAGAAAATCACAGGTGCAAGGTTTCTGCATGACATCTGGCCTGGAGAACCCAGTCATCTCACAGAATCCATCATTGCAGTAGATGATAGCACAATTCTGCACTCTAGCATTAGCAATAATGAATTTTTTATCTGCAATAAAAGAAAGCGATGCATTTTTTAGTACTCTTTCAACTTTTCATAAAGTGTCAATTGCATGGATGGCTGCTAAACAACCACTCATTTCACTGGGATGCCTGAAATGCAGAGATTTTCAGTCATTTAATGGAGTTAATTTGATCCATAGCTTTTAAAGATAATTCAATAAAATTAGAATACATTAAAAACAAAGACAGTTGTCTTTTAAGGAAATAAAGCTAGACTGTGAAAGTCTTTTGCAAAACTTCTTTTAACATTTTTCTTTTTTAGCTTCACTGAAACATAGGTGCTGAGTGTCATGTTGTCAGCCATAACTCCACGGAAAGTCCTTGAAAGTTAGTAGCTTCTTTGGGTGGGGGTTAAAACTGGAAGGGAAGGGGGTTATACGGTGATAAAGCCCAACCAGCTGAGGCTACTCAGTAGGGGCTTTCACTGAGTTGAATGACATTAATTTCATAGTCAGTATTCTAAGAAAACTATCTGGGAAAAAAAAAAAAAAAAGATAAATGTTTGTTCTCTGTGACTGTTTTAAAGTTACATTTATGAAATAAAATATGCCTTAGTAAAAACATGAATATGAAAGTACATCAAAATTGAAGATTGTGGTGTTTCAAACATTTTTCAGGCCACTGAAGTTCTGTGCTTTAGTCCAGCATGCTTTCCCAAACCCTCACCTGCAAGAAAAGTTCAAAAGTTGTCTTTCAATTGTTATTTCATTTGTCTCCATTTACCACTATAACACCCTATTCCGGTTTTAATTACAAATGTACAGTTTTGATATATTCACTGATAATAACATCAATTTGTGCTTATGTTAATCACACTAGTAAGCCCCTGACTTTTAGAAAAGACTTTTTGTGTGATACCAAGTTAGCAGTACAAGTCTTCAAAATTTTAAAGATGATCAGTCTTTGAGCACAGTGCAATATTTGGAGAGAAAAGTACAGATTTCATTCTTGCTATTTTCTACTATCTTTCAATCATGATGAATTTTCACTATCACTTGACTATCTAAAAGGTAGGGTTTTATATTCTCAACATAAAAACAACATAAAAACTCTACTCAAGTAGCAACATTGACTTAACATTTGGTTAAGTCAGGACTACAGTCTATATATTTTTCTCAAATAACAAATATTAAATTGGTAATGTATGTATGTCTAGGTATACGGAAGTATATAAACTGCAGCTAGCTCTAAGAGTTTGCGCTGAACTGATACTAAAAATATGCTAAATATTTAAATAAATGTACATATATCAAAACTACTGTTTCTAAATGAAATTCATTTTAAGCATCAAGTGTTCCTTCCTACTGTTAACAGCAAACCAGAGTTCATCCAGGAAAAACACTTCAGCTTCTCAGCCTCCTCGACAGGTAGTAAAACTGCTGCATTGGAAAAGACCTCAGAGACTCTCCCTGAGGATGCATTTGCACTGGTTTAATAGATATTTTAGGCTTCCATAAACAAAGTGGAAATATTTAACAGATATATTAAAATGCAGTCACGATGACAAGGTAAGAATATTTTCTGTTTAATAGCTCCTCTGCATATTATTTGGTTCCTTTAAATCAAAGTCTGCCTGTTCTGCTTTATCTTGAAAAGACAATGATAATTAATAACAATAACAACAATAATAAATCTAGCCGATTTTCTTAGCCACCATATGGACAACAAAACTGTACACTGTTTCAGAGACATCTCACTGGTTTAGAAGGTAAGAAATATAACTTCTGTAGCTATACAACATGGATACAGTCAAAGATAAAAACTGTTCATTGAAATAGGGGAAGAAAAATGAAAAGCTCAATAATTCAAGTCGGTAATCTGCATTCTAGATCAAAACCAACGTTACTCCTGCGAGGGATCCCCTCCTCACCTCTGGGGTTTTCTGCCCAAGCGACAAACTTAAAATAGTCCGGAGCTGCTGTCCATTTAGTCACAAGCAGAATCAAACTACTGTAGCAAAATAAATAGAAAGAGAGAACTTACTTTGCCCTTCAAATTTTCGTATGATTGTGCCCAAAAATGTATTTTGTGGTGCCACATGACCTCTGCGAACAGGCATGTTTGTACAGATCTTCGGTTTTCTGTGCACAATGACTTCTCCAAGGATCTCCTACACGGCTCCAGCCCAAAGCACAGAGCCAGCTACCCTTTGTGACAAATCATCGTCCTCCGGAGCTCGGAAATCTCTTCCCATTAGCACCACTTCTAGACACACGCTTTTCCTATCGGAGTCAGATCCATCCCCCAGTTTCTTTCTTTTTCTTTCTTTCTTTCCTCGCTTTCTTTTCTATTTTTTTTTTCCTGGAGGACCTCGGACGCTATTGTCTGGGCGGGTAGGGGTGGGGTAAGCAGGAGGAGGAGGGGGGGAAGATTACAAGGGTAATCGATCTCTAGCACCAAACATCGCCAATTTTCCAAAGCAAATGGCTGTGACCCGGCAGTTTCCGACGCTGTAGCGGTGGTTGGAGGGCTGGAAGACTAATGTTGCTCCGCTGCCAGAGGGAGTGACGTTCCCCCCCTCCGGGCTTCACCACGGCGCGCAGCAGCTCGGATTACTCAAGCGTGGCTTAGCAAGAGCCAGCCAATAAATCTCTTCAAAACTCGGCGACAAACAGCGGCATCGGGAACGAGCTACACCCCGGCACGGCCGCGGCGCGCCTCAGCCCCCCTCCGCAGCAACTGCAGGGGGGCAGCGGGGACCCGGGGCGCTGGCGGCGGCAGCGGAGGGGGGTGTCCCCGCTACCTCCGGCCGCCCCCTGCTTCCCCGCCCCGCCGGCCCCTGCACGGCTCCCGAGCGCGGCCCCAGGCGCTGCCAGGGCCCGCGGGAAGCAGCCTGGTGCACTCCCTGTCTGCGGTTGAGGGAGGTGTGTGTGTTGGGGGGCGTTGGTGGGGGTCGCTTTGGAGTGATAGGGGAGAGGAGAGGGACCAAGGGACCACCGGTGCCCTCGGCATCCTTCCCCGCCCTAATATCCATCCCTTCCCATTCCGCAGCGCGACCTAGGCGGGGGCTTCCCCTCCATACACCCCCCCCCCCCCTCCTGTCGAAACGGGGGGGACCCTCGGCGCGGGGGGGCGCCGCTGCCCGGCCGCTCGGGGGCTGCCTCCTGGGGCCGGGGTCCTGAGGCCGGCCCGGAGCTGGCCGCGGTGCTGAACCCGCCCCGCACCGAGGCGGGCCCAGGGAGCGCCTGGGTTCTCCCCCAGCCTGGCTCGGCTCGGCCTGTACCAGCCCATAGGGCAGAGCGTACTGTTTTGGGTTTGTATTAGGGCTTCCCGCTCTACCCAGCAGGTGGAAACGGGGCGCGCTCAGCACGGGGGAGCCCGGCGAGGTGATACGGGGAGGGAGCTGGGAGCAGCCATGCGGTGCTGGAAAGGCATCTCTAGGGGAGAACAGAGCAGCGGCGGCTTCTTAATAAACTCACAGGGAAAGGGAGAGGGGGAAAAAAACAAAAAACAAACAAACAAAAAAAACAACAGAGGGGCACCTGCTCTCTGTTCTTTGTAATATCAAGCACAGGATATTGAGCCGGCAAACCACCGCCTCCCACCTGTTCTCCCACAAGACAAACAGGTGTTTCCTTATTCCCGTGGGTTTTTCTCAGGTGTGGCCTTTGTTTCACTGTTACCGCACGTCTTCCTCTATATTTATCAGGGGAGGGACACAGTCTGTTGAGTATGTGGGTACATTTCTTGACTAATTTCATTTAATCTCAGAGGAATCATTCTAGATTTACACAACTGTAAATAATGTCTGAAAATACCACTTATATGCACATAAATTGTATTTAGAAGGCTGCATAGTAATTGGCTGTATACTAATTACAAAGCCTCAGCTAGATTTAGTGGTATGTAATCAGGTACATAATCAATCTTAGGAAGTGAGTGTTGCTCATTTACAGAAGCAAATGTTTAAATGTTTTAATCTGTATACTCAGATGTCTGAATCAAAGGAATAACAGCCATATATATTCTTTGTCACGCTATTTGGAGAACTGTAACATCTTTGTGACTTTCTGATCAATGCTAGAAAGTGAAATTCTGAGGATATTTTTATTCACACTTCATGTAGTGAATTGTGGATGAGGCTGCAGGTTAATTTTTTCTCTTTCAGCTGTTTATTTTGACCAAGAACACCCATGTATTCCTCTGAGAATGTATTGAAGGTCCCAAAGACAGCAGCTGAACTTGTGGACATAAAGGCAGAGGAGCATTCTTATTTTAACATTGTATATAATACCTAACATCTTAACAATTAAAATTTGACAGGAGTTAATTAATTCTGATTTTTACATAAAGAAATTGTACTTTGGTGTTTCTAAAACAGCAACAGAGAATAAGCACAATAAAATTGAAACCTGTACCAAACAATCAATGTTTTATTTTCAGTATTCAACAATTAATAGCAAATAAGGTCGACTGAGGAACCCTACAGGTTACTAGAGTCTAGAGCCCTTTAGGTGCCTGGCTGGCACAAAAATACATAATTAAAAAACAAACAAACAAAAATCCACACAACAAAACAAACAACAACAACAACAGCAAACACAAAATAGAATTGAGAATACAAATCTCACTGAAGCGTCATCTTTTCATGTTGTTTGAAATATGTCAGACTATATTTGCCTGAAATAGCAGAAACTAAGATTCCATTACTCCAGAAGTCCTTTTCCATACTGTCTCCTGATATTTACTAGAAGTTTGATGTTGATTAAGTGAATGTACATCAATCAAAGTCCACAGACTCCTTCCCACTTCCCTTTGTTGGTTTAGGAAATGCTCAAGGTAACCCTGGCCAAAACAAGATAACTGCTGCTGGAAGACATGATCTGAGACGTGTTTTTTGTCAGGGGAGGAATTCACAAGAATGATGGCATGTAATAACTGCATAAGCAATAGGTGGCATCAGAAAATCTTTCATCACAGTGATTTACACCCCTGCAGTCTCATAGATGCTGTGTTACTCCTGGAGTGTTTAATACTCATTGTGCATAATATTTTATAATTTTATGTAACAAGCCAACAGTGAGAGAAGTTCAAGATGAAAATATATTAAAACTGGACAATTTAGTAACAGAGAGAAAAGTGATCACTTGAAAGGATTTGCATTTGAGTGGGAAAATATGCATGTAAGTGACAAAGTTTGAATTCATCACAAATATGCCTCTCTAGTATGATGAAAGAAATGGAGAATGCCATGGAGATATATGTTTTATCTATAAAGTTGTACGGTTGCCAGCTCTGCAAGGGACCAAAATGCCAAGGGAGGATCTCTCCTGAGCTAAAATGCATCTAGCACGACCGATCCCCTCATTCTCTGCCCCCTTGTGGCCCTGCCCCTCATGGCCCAGCGATAGTTCCCCTGTGAACACTGCTGCTCTGCAGCAAAATTATATATGGCATTTCCTAGCCTCAAGGATTGAAGCTGATTTTGAAATTTCAGTTTCATGAGATTTCAATGGCTTTTCCAACACATTAACTACTTCTCTTTCAAGTTCCTTGGGAGAATTCAGAGGGATATATGACTGGAGATATGTTATTGAGCTATTTTGACATTTTAGCAGTTAGCAATTAAATCTCTTATCATGAGGAAAAGATATATCTGTGGAAACGTTTCTAACCATATTTCCCATTCATTTTGGGAAAAAAGTATAAAAAGGAGTCATTCAGTTTTAGACCAGCATTCTTATCATCCTTGACTATGACTTTATCTCTTTGATGCTGCAAGAGATTGCCTCCCTAAGAGAAATTCCTTCCTTTTCCAGCTCAAATAATCTTTAGCTGCATGTTGTTCCTTCTCAAAGTCTTGTTTTCCATTTCATTGTTGCCCTGATTCTACAGTTTGCCTGCTATAGAGAGAAGTTTATTAGCACAATCCCATTTGAATAAATGCACTGGAGCAGTACACAGTTAAGTCTTGATAGTTTTGATTTTGTTTTATTTAGGTTTTGGTTATTTCACATGTGTGTGTGTGTGTTTCATTGTTCCAGCTAGCATGAGATATCTGTGTTGCTTTCATATCTGTGTTACTTTTGCAATGTATATAATGTGTGCCCTGTCATTTATTCATCCATCTGTGCCTCCAATTTTAAATAAATCTGTGAATGTCTTCAGGGTTGTCAAATGAAATAATGAAACTTTATTTAAATTCAATTTTTTGCTAAGATGGCCTCTCCTCTCCTCTCCTCTCCTCTCCTCTCCTCTCCTCTCCTCTCCTCTCCTCTCCTCTCCTCTCCTCTCCTCTCCTCTCCTCTCCTCTCCTCTCCTCTCCTCTCCTCTCCTCTCCTCTCCTCTCCTCCTCTCCTCTCCTCTCCTCTCCTCTCCTCTCCTCTCCTCTCCTCTCCTCTCCTCTCCTCTCCTCTCCTCTCCTCTCCTCTCCTCTCCTCTCCTCTCCTCTCCTCTCCTCTCCTCTCCTCTCCTCTCCTCTCCTCTCCTCTCCTCTCCTCTCCTCTCCTCTCCTCTCCTCTCCCTAAAGTTTCAAATTATAGCTCTAGATTTTATTTTAATCCCTTGTGATAATAATGATAATCAATTAGGTTATGTCTGGCTGGGATTTAGGCCTACAGGTAAAGTATGCTGTTACCTGGGACAACAGGCTGCCAAATTACGTCTGTTGGAGAAGACAGAAATCAGCTGTTTGAAAATCACTAGCAGCAAAACAGCAAATCTCTGCTGGTACTTCTGAGAAGATTTTAGGGTTCATGTGGCAGCAGTTTCTGCTGCTAGAGTTGGCTCCTTCTATTAGTAGCTTTTCTTTATTTGCACTGTGCTGATACTCCATGGACCAGTAAGTCTTTCATAATCCTACAGCCATGTAGCCTACACAGTTGCCTACATAGTGAAATAGAAATACTTCATTGTTGTTGCAAAATTCACCTTGATTTATTTCACTTTCATTGTTCTCTGAAAAAAACTCTTATTTTTAGCAAGACCTTTGATATTAATGAGCTTGCATGAATGTAATTTCTCTTTGGCCTAAAGGTTTAATTCTTCACCATGTCTGTGTATGGTTCTCATTAGTATTCAGGACTTCAGATGTTTCAATAGGAGAAAAGATATCAAGTATTTAGTATCGCAAAATGACAAAAGAAGTGTCCACACTACATTATGCTCTAAAAAGTGGTTACAAGCTTGTTAAATTTACAGCCAGATGACCCTCAGTAGTCATGTGTCCTGTTTCCCTGCCTCCTTTCCCCCTCAAAAAAAAAAAAAAAAAAGTTATTTGGGATTTTGTTCAATGTATAATATGTTTTATGTGGAATTCCCTCTCTGAGGAACTGTAACTTGATGACAAGAATATGAATTATAAATGCAAAATCTTTAATTGTAGAACTTCTGTGAGCTTAATCTTTTAGGCTGATAAAGGTAACGGCACATGGCAAGAAACTAAGATAGCAAGTAACTTTCTCTGGAAGGATTTGTGAAAAGTTAAGTTTGTTATTCTAAAGTATATGCTACTCTTATTACATGCTATGTTGGAATGCCTAGGGATTCAAAACCTCATGACCTGAGATTGTTTTGGATGTCGTATGTACAGGTCATGAAAACAGAATTACAAAAAGCATCAATATATCCATCTACTTTATGTCCTGCCAGTGGATTGTTCCCTTCAGTATATTTGTGTTTGTATTATTCATTTAGGATTTAAATTATTCAAGCAATGAGGCTTCCACTTCTTCCTCTGAGAGACTCTTTCAATATCTCTCTGTCTCACCACAGGGTTTCATTCCCTCATATTAAGCCACGGTTTTGGTGTGTTCTCTTGCTTTGGGAGTTTACATTATTTAGATGCTCATCTGATTCCCTGGGTTCTTGCCCAGTAATGGGTGCCTCCAATTACTCCTTGCTGACCCTCTCTGGCCAATTAAGAGTGACAGAAATGACCCCAGCATGTTCTGTGCCTCTTGAAGATTTTTTAGTTGGATTATAGTGCTATGTCTGTCATTCTGGCAGCTGTCATTCCAGACAGAACACTGGTAATAACTAGGTAAGACATAAAATGTACTTTTATTAATTTATTCTTTTCCTCATACAATATTGAAATTATGGCAGCATACAAAAGCAGAACCTTGCTCTGTATTTTTGTGAATAATTATTCTGTACCAAGGGAAGTGTAATTGAAGGTAAATATGTGCATTTTCTCTAATCTGTCTTCCCTCATAACAGAAATTCAGGCATAATATTTTGGAATAATAGTTCACGTAAAAACTATCATAATTACATCACAGCTTAAGTTTGGTCTCTTCAGAAGTGTATGCTTAGCAAAAATAGAGTGAACTGGGAAAAGGAACAAATTCTGATCTGTATGCATTCATTGCTAGAGTATGAAAAGGGTAAATCATTGACTGTAAGTTATTTATTTAACTAGACCTATTTAT